TGTTGCTTTCAGCTTNGTAAAGGCTATAATTAAATATTAGAAATTAATTAATTTGACTAGAGGTAGGCAGTTATGCTACCATCTTGTAATAAATTTAATGACCAATTCCAAATTAAATTTTAGAAATGTCTAAATTAAAAATTAATTATTTATAATTATTAAATTTAATACAAGATGGTAGCATAACTGCCTACCTCTAGTCAAATTAATTAATTTCTAATATTTAATTATAGCCTTTACATAGTCCAAGAATTTGGCATATCGTTTGGTATGTTATCATATATATTATCTGTGATTTTTTTATTGTTTTCTGCAAATCAAATTTGCATTCCAGGTTGGTTCGTTCTGTGCTAGAAGAAAAGATGATGATGATTCATGCTCCTTAACAATGTGTAATATAATTATCTTTGAATAAATGTTATACATAAAATATTTCAGTATTTTCTTTTGGCATGGAACGCATTATTGTATTTTACATTAATTTATATGGGAAAAATTGTTTTGCTTAACAAGTGTTTTGCATTACGAGTAATAAGATATATATATATATATTTAAAAAATATATATAAACAGTATATATTTTTTAAAATTGATTATAAGTGGAATATATATCTTCATCAGGAACAGTTTTAAATCTTGTGTTTATTTTTAGAGAAGTTGGGGATGAAACTACAAAACTACTTAGAATTGTAAGCAAAATTTTGAACTATTTTATAAAACCAATTTGCATACCATAATTTACATTCATTTTAATAAGTTTTGGTCATAACATTATAGACACACAAAATAACTAGGATTTCCAGAGTATTACCATTTCCTATTTTTTTCTGCTCATATTTCTCAGTTTCTTTCAATAGCATAACAAGATCTGATATAAAGAGGTTGCCCAAATTAAAATTTAATATGAATTACTACATATTTTACTAAATTTTTGGTTTAATACTTACAAGTATAAATTACTAAGTCAGCAGTTATAATTTATTATATTTGTTAACTCCACAGTTAAATTAATAAGAAATTAATAAAAGAATTTAAAAGCAATAGAAGTGTTATTTAGTCGCCTTGTCTCCGTTATAATATGAACATTGTAAAAATCATTTACAGTACAGTATAATAGTATGAAGGTTTAGGCACTTGTTCAGCAAGTGTATTATCTGTAGAAACAGACAAATCATCATTTAATGATAGGGGAAGAGAATTCTGTGTATGATGGTAAGTTAGATAAGTAAATGATTGAAAGTAAATAAAATACAAATACAAAAAAAAACATTAAAAATTACAATAACTAAATACCAAGCTCAGTGTTTTTAAAACCCTTAATGAAACATTAAGTTAATAATGTTTCATTAAGTGTATTAAAATTACATAATCTATATAAGTAAGGAACAAATTTACTAATGAATTACATAATTCAGATTCTGTAATGTGAAACCATTGACATATAACACGAAACACAAGATTGAGAAAGGTCAAAGCAATTGTTGTATGGTGAACATTTCAAAAACTCTTATTGACTTAGGAGGAAAGAGCAAACATTCCCTTCCTATTTGATGTAAGTATTCCAAAATGATTGTATGTCATACAACACTTTAAAAATGGAGCTCTCTAAAATCCTGGTGGTAAGAATGTCCAGACATTCATCTTAACATCCCTTTCTTAAATTTTTGAAAAAGAATGTACAATAAATCCTTGTTAGTTCAAAATTTAAGGGACAAAATAATCGCAACTCCGAATTATCAAATTCTGTACAATATGCCAGATGCCATGTAATTGATATAATTTATTAAGCAAATGAAATATGGCTACTTATACAGAATGCTATTTTCTTTAATAATAAGAATATCAATACGATGGTAAATAGCACATGTCTGGTGAGAACTTCACAGGTTGCCAGATAGGTTTAATAAAAAGTAAAGCAGAATTCCTCAAAATGTAGCCAAAATTATTTTTAAAATGGCCCAAAAACTAGTAATTCATCCAATGTAGCTAGAGCCTACAAATATCTCAATCTGCTACTTGTAACCTAATCTCGCAAGTCCGAAAACCAGCTGTATTAATCTTGTATAGCTTTGCAGATAATATTTAAACCAGCCATATTTTATGAGACAAGAGAAAAAAAGGGTAGTCCTTGCGTAAGGTGACACCCAAAAATGTGTTACTTTAAAAGTAAAGCCATGTTGACCAGATTATAGTTATTCTTTGTCTATTGTTCGCTTACAGTGTGGAGGCACTTTGATCTAAAAGAACAAGTTAACATATCACAGTTCAGACAGAATTTTCACTTTGAATTTCAAAGTAGCCATATTTCAAACTAATTGAATTCCTTAACATATAACTCTCTATATCCCTGGTTGGAACAAAAGTACAGTTACAAACTAATGGGATTTCAAACTATCTGAGTTTGAATTAATGAGGATTTCCTGTATATTTTAACTAAATTGTTCAAAACTTGCCATTATAACAGGAACATGTTTGTTTGTTTCTGACCATTTATGAACATCATTCAAATCTAACAAATAATTATCAATGAGAAGTAAACACACTATCTGATTTAAAACAATGAGAGTTCATAAAATCAATAAACATTTCAATTGGGATCGAATTTGGTGTCGAGTTAGTTGTTGATGCTAACTTTCTATATCTTGAGATGGTCTCTAATTCAACCTAGAAACAAATGCTGACCAATTAAATTGTGAAGAAAAAGGTTCAAACCAATCAAAATGTGAGATCAAAAGACCAATCTATAAAAACCTGTGACTCAAGATCATGGGGTTATTATTTTTGTATAGTTACAGAAAGCTGACAAGCCTCTACTGTTCAATCTATCAAGGCTGCAATGTGTTCTTTTGGCTAATTCCTGTCCAGTCCACTGTATTCTCTGTTTACCAATAACTCTTTTTACTTTGCTGGTGACAATGTCAAGGCTCGTCAGAGACGTGTACATCTCTACTGTGCCTGACTTTAAAAGTTCTCCCAACTTTGGTAATCAACTTGGGTCTAGAACTTTCTTTCCAAGGAATTCTTTTTGTATTGACATGCTGATTTATTTTTGGACTTTGTGGTGATTGTAATATTTAAATGGACTAACAGGTATAAAACATCTCTCTCTCAATAAATGACATTTAAAATGGAATAAAATGGAGTCATCCTTCATGCCAAATATACTTTTATCTTCAGCCATGATCCCTTTCAATCAAAAATCCAAAATTTCTAAAAATTAGTCAGATATCAAAATGAAATGATGTGGTTGTATGACCTCAGACAAATTTAACATATTTTTTAACTCTTTTCTGGTAATTAGTTATTAGATTGAATTATCAATAGATAAGACAATGATTTATCTGTAATTAGAAAGTCCTTAATCATTAATGAATTTAATTTATACAATATCTTTAGATAAAAGAAAACAACAACAAATTTGGTTTGAAAGAGTTATGTCATATTGCAATATCATTCTACAGTAACATTCTGATATGACATGATTGATTAAAACTAATTGTTAAAAAAAAAAAAAGAAAATTAAACATATCTTTAGAAGACAGGATAAGTATTCAGTAATAATTAGAACATTAAAGTATGTTCTAATCATTACTGAAAAGTACTAAAAAGAAAAAAAAACAAAAAGTACTGAAAAGTGAGTTTGTCTGGAAAGAAATTGTTACTAAAAAGAACAATTTCTTTCCAGACAAACTCACCTTTTCTATTTAGATCATTTTTTTTTCTTTTTTTAGGTAGACACACAGGTTATAAATTCAGTTTACATTTTAGATATTATTTGTTTATTAACTGATCAATCACTTGGTTATTTTACAAACTAATAATTTTTCAAATAATAAAACAGATTGAAAAAATTTTCTAAGATGCTATACTTTGCTGTTATTCATGAACCAGCCAGACATTACTAATTTCTGTTATCAGTCAGTTATAAAACTTTAGGTCTTAACAGTTTCAAACCTTGTAGTGTAATTTCGAATGTTTTCTATTTTTGAATTGGAGTTGATCCTGATGATGGTCTACAAAAACACCAAAAACATTTAAGTTTAAATAATATGTTGCATGTTTGGTGTTGTGTTTTAAGTTTAGGATCAAATATATACATTATATTACAGTGTTATCTAATTTGAACTTGAAAAGCATTCACTTACAGGTACATAGAAGAAAAATAAAATTTTTTCAACATGAGAAACTATTACACCTTTTCTCACTTTAACTAAATACAGTTGTCCCTTGATAATCCGACAGGTATGGGACCAAAGGTGTGTCNTGCTAATTCATTACATTTAATCTGAATACTTGTGAAACAAAGAAGAAAAAGTAATAGAAAAAAAATAGTGTTAAATGCATTTATTAATTAAAGGAAATAGAAAATTTGCAAAAATATGAACATATAGAAATTGTTGATCCTTAGTTTCTATTAATAAGATAAAAGCTAAGATTAATTAATCTCAACAACACAATAAGCAGAATATTTTATGTAATTGTTTTTATATATTTACATTCAGTCAGCTAAAATATAATGGACCAAATTTCTGATGACAAGTTTACAAAACTTGGCACTATCCTTGTAAATAAAAGAAGAAATGATGCTAATAGTAGGAAACCAACTTTTATTAATTAAAAAGAAATGTTTTTAGTCAAAATAGGCCTAACCTCAGCTTACAATCTTAATATTTAACAGTTTAAAATATTGTGCAATAGAATATACAAAATAGAATACATTCAAAATTAATAATCTGAACATTTAAAATTAAAATTCTGAGCAATAATTAAATATGTTCTATTTTGTATATTTTAAAATAAAATATTAAGCTTGTAAGCTGAGGATAATCAGATCTTAACCAAAAGCATTTCTTTAAATTAATAAAAGTTGGTTTCTTGAAATTAGCAATCATTTCTTCATTTAGTCTGATAAGATTTTGATATTATTTACTTAAAAATGATTTCAATGAGTAATGACGTTGATGCTGCTTTATGATAAATAGAAGTTCCAAAATGATTACCTGAATGTAGTGATAAGTCATCAAGGAATGGAATTTCATTTGTGTCATGCTGGACAGCAAAACTTAATGATGGGTTCAATGCTTGTAAATGATCTATAAAAGTGGAGAAAGGTAAATAAAAGTTGTGGTCACATGACAAAAGCACCCAATGATATTACAATAGGAACAATTCCATGCTGGTAAAAGGAAATAGAGATAGAATATGCAGAAAGTATAATTCATCAGCTTTGATTTTTATACTTAATTTTAAATGTTGAATAAAATGTTTTTTTTAAATAACTTAAATTGCTTAATCTATTATGAGTTGATTAATTTTTGATTGAAACATATACATATCTATAAAATTTGTCCTATGGTATTAAATAAACTTAACTAATTTAGAAGTTCAAAGTAATTATGAATAAAAACATTGAAAGTTGACATATATCAAACCCGAAATAATAGTTTTTAAGAAACTGCTATCCATATTTTCAGTTGAAGTTCTTTTAAACATAGTTTGTTCCTATCTTTTAATTTCATTTAATTTAACTATTAATTAAAATTTATAACAGTGACAGATTGAGAAGAACCTACAAGAGACGAACTTAATAATTAATAAATACCTTTTATTAACATGTGCAAGATGATTGTATTGTGGATGGTCTAATAAACCATATTTGATATCATAAATGTTTTTAATAGTACTAGCCTAGGAACATATTCACCCATGGCTGGATTCTTGGCTTTCAAGCCCCCTCTGGCACTTCAAACTTTCACCACTACAGCTAACAGACTGACCTTGGTATGGTAGGTACTAGACTATAATACCTAACCTTATTTTTATAAAACAGTATTAGCCATTTTTTTTTTTACATTTTCCCAAGCCCTGGTACTCCATTTCTCACACCCTAAACATGTGCTTAATGTATTGTATACTGGCACAATGAAGTGACTTTTCTTCAACACTAGGCAAGTTTCAATCTTTATTCAGTTAAGCATCTAACTGAATAAAGATTGAAACTTGCCTAGTGTTGAAGAAAAGTCACTTCATTGTGCCAGTATACAATACATAAATACAACACGGTTTCGACAACAATAACAAATGTGCTTAATGGTTAAACTGGCTAAACTTAAAAAATGATGCAAAAGTGATGATAACAAATAAAAAGCCTCAAATCTCTTAAGAACAGGACAGATGACAAACATAAATATAATTAAAAAATCCATCCGTCTTTGCCCGTAAATTAAAAAGTTCTTTCTTAAAATCCAAATTTTTATCTGTTGACAACAATTTGCTATTTATGATTAGTTGTCAAATTCCAAACAGTTTTCCTATTGGGCCAGCCATCTTTCACTAGCAGTAAATTCACTAGTTTTTCCTTCAATCTGCTCATGAAATTGAAAACCCTTGTCTTTGAGCATTGGCTCCAAAACTAGCAAACCCAGACCCTTACATTTTCATGCCAAAAATAATGCCTCTCCAACTTTCGAAAATTCATCTTTTTTCATTATTTTTCAGTCCTTTATTCCACTCCCAGATGATTGATGCTTACACTATATTTATATTTCTGGACAATTTTTTCCCAGTCCCTCACTGTATTCTTGCTTATACATAATTCTAATGCTTTTTTTCTTGGCCAATCACCTTAATCCAACAAGAAGTTGAAAATGCTTGCAATTGTATTTTTACACAATATTATTATTTAAACAATACTTTTTTTGTTTTATTTTTTATTTATGTAAAAATCTTTATGACATGGCTAATTGGGCTAGATAATACGGAGGGCTAAATGATTGTGATTCTACTATAAATAATAAAAATGACAGTCTTTGTAAATAGTTCTCTGAGAGTTGTTTTATAAGTAAAACAGGAAAAATTATCATAAATTTATCATCTTTCAAGATGATAAATTTCAAGTAGGAATGTCTAATAATATCAATTGAATTCAATGGGCATAATCAGTGGCATCACTGAGTGACACCAAAATGGCAATAAATTTCTAATGAAACATCACCCAAAATTTTATAATTATTTTTAAAAAATATTCCTGTAGTTAAAACAAAGAAAGGTTTTTATTAACCTTTCTTTGCTTACATATATCAATATGCCTACAATGCTAATTATTATTAACAACATTAATACATACAAAAACATTACTAAGGATTCTGTACAGTCTGTTATAGAAAGAGATCCATGAAAGTTACACCACTGGCATATCAATTAAAGCATGGATCTGAACACACAGAAACAAACAAGAGAGAACTAAAGGTAAAGAACACATGCCTTTGATGGTTTTGAGAAAAATGCAATGACAGATGAATACTGTGGCATGCAAAGAAATTTTCATGTTTTTTAAAGATATTCTTGGTAAGTTTAGATCAGTGTTTCTCAACAGGGGCAATATTGCCCCCATGTGGGCATTTTTCCATGGTGAGGGGCGATTAGTAACAATTTATATTTTTGGGGGCGAAAAACAATTTTCTGGGCGATATAGTAAAACATTATAGTAAGAATACTTAGATATTTTATTTGTTATATCATACAATAATTAAACAAATGACATTATACTAGTCACTAGTCTATTCAATGCAGTACGAATTTGGCGTTAGTCTTGGCCCTCGGCATCAGAATTTTGAAGTGAAGGGGGTGATGCTATGTAACGGTTTTATTGAAGAGGGCGACAATTCGTTAGAGGTTGAGAAACACTGGTTTAGATCAAGAAAAGTTCTTGGATGCGTTCATAAGTTTCAAGTTAAATTGACAGATAATCTGCATCATTAACTGACACCTGCTTTCAAATTGACTTTTAAATACACAATACCATGAAATTATCATAATCTCTTCATAGAATAATAACATAACATTGACTACCATATACAGTGCTAGACAAAAATATAAGTTTGAGTAATGTTTTTTGAGTGCAGATGAATAAATTGTTTAAATAGTTTTATATCCAAAAAATATTTGAAAACAAAATATTAAAAAAAAATCAAAATTTTACAGAGACAAAATTATAAGTTCAGTGTTAATTTCATCAACAATCAAAGAAGAAAATATGCAAATGAAGTTATATCAAACATTTCCATATAACATACAAAAAGATACATTACTTATAATATTGACTTACTGAGAGAACAAGAAACCTGTCATGTGGATTTCAACTTACAGAATCTAAAATTAGACAAATTTGGAGACTTCATGGTAGTGAAGTAACTCAGTGGGAAATTGTTACTGTGATTAGCTGCTCTCAATGTGCTATAGCTAATGTTATAAAATATGGAAATGAGAGGCCACTAAAGTGTCCTGGACGAAAAAGTTCTTTATGCAAATAATGACTTGACAAATAGATAGTGGCTCTCTAATGGTTTAGGGCTGCATTTTCAGTCCAAGGAAGAATTGATATCATTTTTGTTCCTGGATTTTTTACTTCTAAATCCTATTGACCTCTGTTGGAAGATCAACTTAGTAAGTATGGTCATATTCTTAAACATAAAAATTTCATCTTTCTGAAGGATAACACATTCTACCACAATTCAAAAATGATTAAACAATGGTTTTCTGAAAAATAATATTGAGGTTTGTCATGGCCTGCATGCTCCCCAGATCTGAATCTAATACAGAATCTGTGAGGGCTTCTTGTTGCATCTGTTTACAAAGATGGGATGCAATTTTCAATAGTTGCAGACCTGAAATAAGCCATTCAAAAATATTGGGATAAAATTCAAGATGAGCTGTTGATTAAATCAATTGATTCAATGCCAGATTGTATGTATGATGCTATTTGTTGCCAAGGAGATTACGAAAAGTATTCCTTAAGATATTAATCCATTTTGAACTTATAATTTTGTCTCTAGAATTTTACTTTTTCAATATTTTATTTTCAGATAATTTCTGAATACAGGACTATTTAACATATTAAAATGATAGATGTAACTGATTATTTTTGCATATTACCATTTCATTTAAACAATTTATTCATATATACATCCCCAATTTGGAGATCCTCTTGCAGGGCCTATCAGAGAGGCAAAACCAATTTATTCATTTACAGTCTAAAAACATTACTTGAGCTAATATTTTTGTCTAACACTGTATCAAACCAGTAAGAAAAAATAATTTAAACACAGTTGATACATTAATACAAAATGATCATACAGTAAATATGAAATAACATTTACCATATTTCCTTGATTAAACTCTGGAATTTCAAAATAAACCAATTTCATATAAACTCTGAGCTGAAAATCATGGAAAACATATTGTAGTACTGCACTGTATAGGGTAACACAATTCAGAGTGGCAAATAAAATTATACCTCTTCAAATTGTCCAGAATGAGACAGTACTTTTTATTCCAAGCTTCATGGAAACATTTTTTGAAATAAAATTATAAACACTATCACACTGTCAAATATTGACATGGGAAAGTATTAATTAAGACATAAACTGAGAACTTATCAGCAAAAGAGTAATTAGGAGAACAAATTAATAATGAATTTGAACCAGATGATGATAGTCAAGATTTTGATTCCTATGATGACATCATAGACACAAATGACAACAAAATAGCCAAATTGAAGACAAGATCTTGATTCCTATGATGACATCAAAGCAGACACAAATGACAACAAAATAGCCAAATTGAAGACAGTGAATTGGAATTAACTATGAAAATAGTAATTATTTCAAATGTTGTAGCTATAACCCATAAATACTGTCAATAAATAGTTTTGATAGTTTGGAAAATGTATGAGTAATTAAGGTATTTCTTTCAGTTTTATTCTCATCTGAGTCTTCAAGTAAACCTCAAGGGATATGTACTGTACATATTAAAAACAAACCAATGGATAATGGTATATTAAATTTATTTATTTCATTTGTTATGGCTAACAATTTAATAATAATAATTAAAAATAAATATTTAATAAATCAGAAAGTAAAAGATAAAAACACATCTAACCTTTGTATATAAATAGTAATGGATACTAAAGACAATATTCTATTTTGGGACTTATCACACATACTTGTATGTAAACAAGGAACCACATCTTTACTGACGCTGGATAAAGGCTTGAACTTGTTTATAAATCAGAAAGACAATACTTAATGTTGTA